ATAGTAGTTGTCCCCTCCCCCCCCCAAAACAAAAAAAAACTCATAACTTATAGTCACCCTTAAGTAGATAGAATATGGCCTTGGGTATCTTATAATAAGATCCCCCAAATACCCCATACTTTATCTAATTAAGGGGTCCATAAGAGCTTTCCTACCCAGTAAGCAAATTCAGGTTGCTTGTCGCCGGCACGCTCGGCAGTGGCTAGGGTAGCGACCACGGCGTAGACAAACCTATCAGTAGAGTATATCATAGGATTATATAGGGATAATGGAAAAAAAGCAATGGAAACTGTTACTATTGGGATTATAGGGTTTACCCTAACCCCTAATAGGGATTGTGATAGGGATCCTAATATTAAGAGCTTGAGCTGGCAGTCGGTGATCAAACGCTTGGGCGTTTGAGTGGTTGGGACGTTGGGCGCTTGGATATGATAGTTTCCCAACACGAGGGGTACCCCCAATATAAATAGATACCGAAATACTACATTCCTTATTATGGGTACCCCCGGAACAATATCCCTAATTTTGGGAAAGCCCTGAACCCTCATCTGTATATCCCCTATAAAGCCACTGAAAAGGTACCCATTATTTGGGAAACCCCCATAAAAGCGGTGAGGAATGTGAAGTTTAGAGTTTGGACTTTCAGGGCGTGTTGTGCAAGATTTTCGAGGTTATGTTATAGAGTCTAGGGTTTAGGGCTAGTAGGGCATATGGGCATATGTTATATAGGCGGGGTTAGATGGGGACTATATAGGCTTTGGCGTTGAGGCGGACTGTGTGACGTGTTGAGATGGTGTGTTCGGGGCTTTTGGGTCGGGCAGTGTCGCGGATTGATAAGGTATAGCTTCACGGCCATATATGAGCTATAGCCTAACCTCCTAGTATCCGCCTCAATAACCTTATAGTATCTAATAGTAGTCCCCTATATAACCCCCCATATAACCCCCGCCTTCAAGGAGTTTAGAGCATAGCTCATATGCACGTGTACAGTACCCCCATCACGGAGCTCATCTCACATGAAAATCAACCGGCCACACGGTTTAGGGTTTAGGGTTTAGGATTTAGGGTCTAGAGTTCAGGGTTTAGGATTTAGGGTTTAGGGTGTGCTGAGGAGGTTGCCTGTTTTACTGGTCAGGGTTCAGGGCTTAGCACTGTTCCCCCAAAACAGGGAGAGCTGGTGTAGGGACACTTGTGCTTCACAACGGAAGGGCAACACTAGTTTGGGACAGGGGTATTACACTGATTATAACAACGTAAGGGCTACGTGGGGATAAACTTCTGAACTACTAAGGCGTCTCCATTGAAAACTGACTCATAGGAGCTGACTTCTGAACCCAAGGCCTGACGGAGGAGCACATGACGTATCCCTTGACCTACCCGTTAACCTAGGCATCCTAGTACATAATTAATACCTAAAGCGGGCTAAGTCTGTAAACATTACGGACATTGGGCTATATAAATCCCTAGGGTTACAATCTGAACCCTAACTCTCTGAAACCCTAGAGCTTGAACTTCAAACCCTAAAGCCCCATCCAGCTTAGTCCTGCAGCTGCGCCCCGCCTCCCCCGCAAAACACTGGACTACGCATTTACCCAAGGCTTCACAAGGTTATCCTTAACCAACTGGCTGTCCAGTTCATAATTCTTTTACAGGGTTAGCGTTGCGGTCCATGTGGGGATTTATTATTGTTGCCCAAGACGGTTCGAGGTTACCACCAGAAAGGCAAGATATCCTTCTTTAGAGCCGATAAACCCTCAACCCTAAAGGAACTACAGGAGGGAACTTTCAGATGCGGAAATTAAATCTGGGGTACTTATAGAAGTTATAAATGGAACATAGGGAGGTATGCAAGGGGTATATGAAGGCTTTCCATATCCTTGACTCAAAAACGGGCAAAAGCGCAGGATGTGTCAAAGCAAACTTTAATTTCAGGCGGAGGGGATCAGCTTACCATTGAAGACCCTGATAAACGTATTCAAGTACTGAACGGTCCATAACAATACACTGAGAGGGAAGCCTTGTTTGTGGAAACTATTTTGCAAAGCCAAGTAGCAGCAGCAGTGGTATCAGCCGGTACTTGGGCTGGACATGCTTCTGCTCGACCAGCACGTATAGAATCATGGCCTAGGTAGATGTTGGGAAACATGCATGTCATCTGCAACAGCAATTATAATGGACTACTGTTCCCAAGCTGGCTTCGTCTCGTGCGCTTTCCTACCAGCATCATGGTCTCTACCCGGCTGCCCGGTGTAGGTAACTAGGATATGACTGCAACTGTGCCGAAAATGACAACAGCCTATTTCAATCCCCTATAAATGCACCAAGAGAAAAGAATTTTGTCTTGCAGGAATAGACAGAAACCCGTACCTGTAAAAGTATACTCTGTTCTTACCGTGGTTCCCCCCACACCCCCAAAAACCGAGCCCTCCACATTCCACATAGGCATTGCAGGATTGAGCTCTAAAAACACCATTCCTGGAAGACTCATCTTTACTCTATTTCGGCTTTGGGGCCATGGCAGAAGCCAAACCATGCCCTTTAGGAAGATCCTTGCCTCATTGAGGGCGCCTGGTTTTCGAACTTTCTGCCCCACACTGCTGGAAGAAGGGCGGGGCCCACCAAGATTTTTGGAACCCTAAACCCTAAACCCTAACCCCAATCTCTCACCAGCACGAGGTGTACAACAACTAATGAAACCCAACACCCAGCCATCTTTGAGCCCTAAGGGTTTAGGGGTTTAGGGTTTAAGGGTTTAGGGTTCTTAGGGTTTAGGGTTTTAGGGTTTAGGGTCTAGGGTGTAGGGTTTAGGGTTTAAGGGTTTAGGGTTCCGGATTTCAATGCATCGCCTGCCCCATTTGTGCACCAACTATCTTCCCTCATCGATAGTCCTCAGGAACCCCAATCTACCCTGACAAAAACACATAATGAAGCCCTACCAAAATATGAGCCATAGTCTAAACTCCTCGTATCCCCCTTTATAACCCCTATAGTAGTCCCCTATATAATCCCCCATATATCCCCCCTTTAAGGAGTTTAGACCATAGCTCATATTACCCTAAACCCTGAACCCTGAACCCTTGACCCTAAACCCCAAACCCTAGACCCTAAACCCGAAACCCTAAACCCGAAACCGTAAACCCGAACCCCTAAAACCTAGACCCTTACCCTATACAATGCCCCTCGCTAATTGCAAGGCCAGCGGCTACGGTCCACAGCATCGGGACCTGGTTCAGGGTTTGCGCCAACTGCCAGGTTCCTTAACCCCGAAAGAGTTAAGCTTTAAAAAGACAGGATTACCCTGGGGCTCTAACTATATAGATAATACCTACATTGGGCCTTAAAAACTTTAGATAGTCCCTACATGGAGCCTTAGGGTTATAGAAGCTTCTGAAGTGCTACGTGCACCTACCCAGCTGCTAAGCTAAGGGTTAACAGCAAGACGTACTGCGCGATCATTGCTACATAGGCGGCCAGTGTGTTGAAAATAGGCAACATACAAGTGTATGATTTGGGTCCCTGCACAATCTGACGCTCAAGCATTAAAGCCAAAAAACTCCCCGAAGTCCGGGCATGCCGTTCCAAGGCCCCTTTTCGCTACTGCCACCACGTCAATACTCCAAATGAGCTGCCACAGGAAGGCAATAATTTCCAAAAGACTGCGTTTTGCACGGAAATCTTCACAAGAATCGAACCAGGCGCCCCATATGATGGTACCTTACTCCCATCATAGACCCTGTCGCCTCACTTTGAGTACCTCACTTTCTGAGAAGCGCTAAGACTGTAACATCTCACACGATTCAAAAAGTCACGGCCTTTAAGCCATCTGCCAAAGGAGTAACATCCCCGGAAACCTGACTCGGACATGGCCAAGTTGAGCCTGAAATCCCAGAAAATTACCATTTACATGAACTTGAAGCATACATCTCTACCCTAAACCCTCAAGGACCACTTGCATGAACTGAAAGCATAAACCTCTACCCTACACCCTAGATTTCATCTTACGTATAGCCACAGCAACCCAGACCCCCTAAAGGA